GGCAGTTAAATTGCTGGATGTTTTTTTCTGGATTTTTCCTCTGCTTAAGAATTTTTGACAACCCCTTTTTCCCGAAGTGCAAATTAGTGCCAATCGTTTCAAATAGGTCCATAATTTGCAGAGCAAAGACACAGTTTTTGTAGTTTAGCTTCTTTTAAACCACCACAATGGATTTTTAAATAAGCAATCAGTGTGTGATTGGGGTTTTACACAAATTGTTGTAAATTTGTATTTTATAGCTATAATTTGAAAAAAAGATGCCTAAAGAGATGTCAGTGCAACTGAGGGATGCCCTGATTACTCTGGAAAAAAAAATAACAAAAGAGGGACTGCTAAAACTTACTTACTACAAGTTACTAAATCAATGATGTGCTATATTCTTAAAAAGAATGAATGCACTGGGCAACTTAGCAAGACCAAAAGCCAAGAAAGACCAAGGCATATCATTTTCAAGGTCTATAATCTTAGAGTTTGCCAGAAAACAATTAATATGTAGCCTATCCAGTTCTGGAGAAAACTAACAAACAAACAAACAAACAATCAAAGAAACAATCTTTGGTCAGAAAAATTAAAATTAACTTGCATCTAAAAAAGGGAAGAAATCCCCTGTATGCTTAAAGTATCATGATACAAAGCATGTTATATTATCTGTCAAATATAGTAGAGGAAGTTTTGTAACATGACAAGCATGACTGCCAATGTAACTGAACCACTAATATTTGTAATACTGAAGCATACAGGGCTGTAGTCTCTGCTCAGATTCACCCAAATGCTGCCAAACTGATCAGGAAGCACTTGGCAGTGCAAATGGATAATGACCCAAACCATACTATGAAAATGACTCAAGAGTTTCTTGAGGAAAGGAATTTGGACATTCTTCAATGGCCAAGTCACCTGATTTGACCTCAGTGGAGCATACTTTTGAGTTATTAAATACAAAACTGAATGCAGAAACATCCACAAATAAGTATCAGCTGAAGGTAGATGCAGTAAGGGCCCAGCAGAGCATCTTAAGGGAGGAACACAGAGTAAGTATTAAAACTAATCAGTGTATTTAAAATTATATTTTGCTCAATTATCGTTGAAAAATGGAGACTATGTATGAAAATGAGTCTAATTCCTAAACAGTTAATGGTTTTTGTTTTTTTGTTTTTTTTGTAAAACTACTTGAATTAAAGCTCAAAGTCACCTCAGTCATATCTTGATTGTTTCATTTAAAATACACTTTAGCTAGGCAAAAACTAGCTAAAATGCACCTTTGTCCAGTAAATTATCTACCTAACTAAATAAGCACCAAGGATAAAAATAGAAATTCAAATTCTTTCTGAATGCATTTTTATTAAAAATATATACCAAGCAAGCACAACGTAGTGGAAATTCAATATCTCTTACATCCAGCAGTCTTTTCTCTGTTGCAACTACTGTATACAGTTTCTCAAGCATGGTGGATAAGCCAGCTAAACTCCACTGGTTTGTGAAGTCATCACTATTACATATCATCTTATACTTAAAATAACACTATATCTGGTGAATTCGGGATCTTGAAAGGAAGTCCTCCAGTTTTCTCTTTTAAGATCTTCCATTTAGTAGTACGTTTCCTTTACATTATACAAAAGTTAGCCCTTTCTGATGTGTCTATAGGTGAGAAAGATCAACTTTTTTTTGTTCCACCAAAGTATTTCTTGCATTGGTGATTTTCTTCATATCCATTCTAGCTCCGATTTTGTTGTATTTCAGTGCCCACTTTTGATTCCTCAATTACACTTCTGGATGCCTTTGATTTGCATGAGGTTGTTTTTTATCATCGCCAATCCTTTTTCTGACGGGCCCACCATACAGGTCTCTCATTTTTTTTTCTTTGGTGATTAGAATTCTATCTCTGGGTGGCAATCCTGTCACTGTAGATGAGAATGTGGATGCCCAAGCTGTCAACAGCCAAGCTTTCAATGGCAGAAATGTTACTCTATAAAACAAAGGAATTATGACTATTTGGAAAATAAAACCCATCACAGATATTGCAGTCTGAAAACAAAACATTAAAATATGTTTTACTTATTACACATTGTACACTAAAAGCCCGCTCCATGACTTTTCAATCAAAGATGTCATACTTTTCCATCAAAGATGTCATACTTTTCCAAAGATTAAAGTCATAGTTAATGTCAGAGGCATCTTTTGCTTTTGATTACTGACAGTATGTGCAGCAATGCCGGATGCTGAAGGTTAGCAGTCCTGTTTAAAGAGCAAGAAAATCAGTAAAACAGTGGTTGGAGGTGTTTACAGGATTGTTTGTCAGGAGGGTTTTGTCTTGTTTTGAAATGTTGTGTTTTTCACTTTGTTTACATAGTTTTTTTTTATCCTCTGACTTTTTTTGTTTTTACTGGCCTTCACAAATTCACACATTTTGGTAACTGATTGGGTTTAGGAACTAAAAACTACATGTTTAGTTTAAGGTATGCGGAAAAAAATTCTTGAAATATGCTTCTTTACATTACTAACCCTCCACACTGAAGTGAGATGTTGCTGTCACTGACAATTGGCAGGATTTGATACCCTAGAAATTAAGTTTATGGTGGTAATATTTTCTACACATTTCAGGTCTACTTTTTTTAATAGTGTAGAGCAATGAGTTGAAACAAATGTCCATCTACCACCTACTTACACTTTTTAAAACAGTACAGTTCTTTCAAGTCAGTATAATAAGCTGTACAGGTAAAAGCTAGCAGAAAAATAAGGGAAAATAATTTATGAGTCCTCTTTATCCATCGGTATCATTACGTTGCACAACTGACAAAAGCAAGACACCTACCATGGTAGGTAAAGAAACTGTGTGAGTGAGTCAGGATTTTATTATTTCCAGGCAGACTATGCTTCTTTTGAATGGTTATTGAGTACTGGAGTACCTGAGGAAACCTACACAGCCACAGGGAATAAAGCCAGTAACCGATTTTGCTCTGAGGCAACAATGCTAACAATTATTAAAGCAGCAGAGTGGCAATAAAATCATGAATATATTATAAGTATTTGAGATCAAATGTATATTTCATCATACAGCTCTAATTTCAAATATATTTGTTATACAAACCTTTATCTTAATTAACTTTGGGTGTAAATGCCTCTCCATCATCAAAATTCCTGCTGGTCCTCCCAAGGGCAGCTTATAGAAATCGTATGTGATTAGACCCCCTACTAAAGTTACTAAAGGTTCTCAAAGAATCAGTTGGCCTCTGGGTACAATCATCACTTAATAAAATGTAGTCATCTGACACTTATCTGCTTCATGAAAAGAAAGATAGAGGAAAATAATTTCAGTAATTCCACACAGTAATTCCTAACTAACTCATAAGAACCCATTCTCATTGCATTCAGCTGTTGCAAATCGAGCATAATAACTTTTAATTTTTATTGCACAAAAGGATGAGAGCGTGATGGTAAAGTGGAAACAGCATCTAGGACAGAAACAGCTGCATTAAACTGCTAACACAACTTTGACTCTTTGCACGAATCTGCACAGACAGCACGCTAATGCTAAGCTAGCCAAGAACTCAGAGTGATGTTAAAGCTGCATGTTTGCCGACTCCAACCCAACAGTCAGACCTTGAACTTCAATAGGTAACAAACTGATGAGCAGTCAGGCTGCAGCCTCCATTTTTACCTGTTTATGTTTGTACAGCAGAATCACTGTGGCGATCGTTTTGTGGTGCCTCTATGCTGGTTTTTGTTTTTGCTTTTTGTTTTTGGCTTTGTGTTCATACCTAAATACTAAGAGAAAACTTATATGACTTTATTTTTTTTGAGTAATGACCCCAACACTAATGACAGCAAAGAAGGGAAATACCTCCAACATGCACCAACATTTAACCACACAGCATGCAGTTAATTGCATGAATGTAATGCCTTTGATATGCTGCTTGGCAATGATGGTCACTATCAAAGTGGAGCCAGTGAGAACCCAATAAAAATTGATATGGAATTGGTACAATAAGCAATACTGATAATGGAATCGGAATTGCTAAATCCTTATCAATCCCCATCCATATCAAAAGCTACCAGACACTGAATCCATTAGACCAAGAACAGAACTGATTCTGCTCTGACCTGGATAATCACCGAAGTCTAAAGATTTTACCATGTGCTTTCATTTATTCCCGTCTCTGATCCAAGGGATGCTAATCAGTGAATTTTGTTTTTGTAGCTTTGAGTCGTCTATGATGGAGCTGCTTATTCCTAATTAAATAATGGATATTGTTGATCTGATTTGTTCAGACAAAATGGCTGACTAACCTTTTGCATAAGTACAAATGAGAAGAGTAGGGCTGTAAACCTTGTCTAAAGATTTTCCAAAACAAACGTGCTTTGCGCTTTCTTTTTTGTCTATAAATTGCTTTTTTGCTGTTTTACACCAGTTTATACAATCATCCACAAGCAAGAGTTTTAGACAATCTTTTAAGTCCAAAAGCATGAGAATCGATTAGTCTCGATTAGTGTCGTATCACATTTTAGACAATCCCAATAAGTTTTCCAAATCATGGTTTACGCCTAGCCCCAACTAAGCAGAAAATTTCTATAAAGTGCAAAAAAACTTCATCTAAATCTCAGTTTAGACCAAATCTGTGTTTTGGAAAATGAGCATTTATTGCTTGGATAAAAGGCTAAATTCCTGTTTTCTTTGCCCCACGAGAGGTTTAAAAACAGGATTTAAAATTAAAAAAAATTGGTGTGTTTCTCTTTGTGCACGTGCATGCCTTTTGCAGTATGAGTAAAATCATGATATTATCATGTTAAAAAACCAAAGGCTTTTATTTTTTTAGTTTAAGTAATTAATTGATTTATTTTGCAGAAATGGATAGATAAATGGAAACAAAACAAGGAGCAGTCGGCCAGTTTTTTGGTTATGGGATTTTATTAGCTTCCATTAACCAATTTTAAACAATGACAATAGGCAAAAAGAAAAAAACGAAAAAATTAAAAGGAAAAAAAAAAAAGCAACTTTAGGGCTCATGTCTGCTAGTACCTCCTCTACTCTGTAGTATATTAAACTGCTGCCCATGTGTGACTATATAACAGTGTAATAGATTTTGTAAAATCTAACCTGTTCCGGTGAGGTTGGATTTTTCAGCAGTCAAATGTACCTGCTATAAAAGAATGTTTTTGCTTGCTTGATCTACTGCTATCAGCTGGCTTTATCAAAGAGAAATAGTTTTTTTTTAAATGCATATTTTTAGAAGTCATGTGCACTGGTCTGAAAACAACTTTACTGGTATCACAGCCAGTGTAAAAGGTGGAAGTAGTTACTATGATGTAATCCACTGGTTATGAAGCCTTAAGATTAGTGCTTTTATTGTGCCATCTTAGTTTTAAAGAAATGTGATTTCCTCACTGAATAATGACTTATAATTGATAGATTTTTAGGCAGTGAGTGTGATGGCAGAATACCATGGATAATACTCTTCTTTTTCTTTTTTTTTTTAAATGACTAAGATTTTATAAAATAGGCTTATTTTTTGCATTCAATGCGACCCAAAATGAGTGACTAAGTTCATAAACACATCGGGTCAAGACAGATCAAAACAGGTCAAAACAGAAAGCCATTTTTCTAGTAGACTTATATAAGAAAAAGTCTCTGCAAGAACAGCTATTGTCATCTGGTGGCCTTGTGACAGAGTATACTTTAGGTTTAAGGCACTTCTGCATTGGCTTCATATTCCACAACCCAGAAGCTACAACCATCTTTTATACTGTCTACGACTAATACTATGTTGGAATGTTTTAGCAAGATTTGGTATGGCAAGGGACATCTGCAGAGTTAGACAACTTTTCTGAAAACAAAGCAGTGCTCATTTTCTGTCAGAAAAATAAGGCAACTATTTCTGTGGCGCATGTTGAATATTGACTGTAAAAGACGCCTAATCATCTTAGTAGTATGTGCAACTATGAGAAACAAGACAAAAATTAAATGAATAATCTGTAGAAAAATAATTGCCATGTGATATAAGGCATTAATTTACCAATAAAGATGACTTCTAAGAAAAACAAAATTAAAAAGTTATCTTGATTCTGCATTTACAATTCTGCCTAAATCTGTGCAATGTTACCGGTGGCACCAAACATGAGTTAACTCTACCCTCTAGAAGCTACCAGTTGTGGCAGTTAATTTATTTCATTTCAACTGAATTGAACTGGATTCAGTTTATATAGCAAAATCACAATAACAGCCATCTCAAGGTGCTTTATATGATGAGGTAAAGACGAGCCAATATTAGAGAGGTTATCTCTCATATTTGTAAAGGCAAATAAGTTAAAACTATTTCTCTCAGGACAAGCTAGCAGTAGTTTAATAAGCGTGTTGTACATTGTGGGTTTTGCTGACATTGTTATATTTTTTTACAGTGTATTTCTTTCTTTGATATCAAATACAGTGCAAGCTGAAATCTGCAGTCTCTCAAAAATAGCCTTGTATTTTTTTTAAGTTGACATCCATATATTTTTTAAAAATAAAAGTAGGTAAAATGGATTAAGCAACTATTGAACTAGGATCCATTTGACTGTTCCTTTGGAGCACAGCAGTCTTATAACTACATCGGAGAGCAGAGTAGGATAGATACAGTAATGTGTCCAGAACATACAGTATAGTTGTCATCATCAGTCAGAATATCTATTGCTTTGGTGGAGGCCATACGGCAATTTTTATTCCCCATTTGGCATCAGCTCAGGTCTCTTATCTGTGTCTGTTTACACTGCATTTTCTTTTTGTTCCCAATTCTTTCCATTTCAGACCCAATCATTTGTGTTTTGATGTCAGTGTGTATTTTTCAAATGTTTCTTGTTTAACAAATGATTGAAAATAGAGATGCTTTTAGTAATCAAAATTATGCCCTTGTTTTCAATTGAATGAGCCCACTAAAAAAAACATTGTGACAGTTGGTTTAATTTGCTTTCCTAAATGGACCTCTGAGACTCGCCCTTCTCAAACAATTTTGAGTGTAATGGCCTCCATTTTTACATCTCACGGAGGTAAACTGATTTCTACCCTGTACAAAGACAAGAACTCATTCAATACTTGAAGTAAAGACCAGAACATCTTTAGAAAAAAAGAACCCATAAGATCACTTTCACATTGTGGTGGTAGATAGTATTGTGTACCATATTTGCACTGTAAAATGTACAAAATATCACCAAGTTGTTGGCTAGTGGCCTGCAATCTTATTCACAAGCACTTTGAAGCATGTTTATTTATTTACAACATACAGTGTACTCTGAAACAGTAACACATTTATAAATAAATATTGCAATCTTAACATCGTACAGTTCTCCTTTTTTATTGTCGGTTCTTCATGACTCGTCACCTGAGCTTAACGAAGGTGAGGCAACCTTTGCCTGTTCTGAGTCCTTCTTTCCACTTATTCTTTTATGTGCTATCATTCACCAGCAGGCCTATTACTTTCAGTCTTTGTCCTTGCCCTGTCATTCCTTCCTCACCCTCTCAAACATGATTTCAAATAAATAGGTATCTAGAAGGAAAAAAAGGATCATATATTCTTAAATCTTAATAAATCTCTGAAATAAAAAGCTACAGTTAATATCTTCCCAAATTAGGGAAAAACATAACAAAGAAAAACATAAAAACCTTCTATTTATCAAAAAGGACAAACAAAAGGAGAAAAAACCCCAATATATTCATAATAATGTTCAACAAGCTGGTACGTATCCATATCTGTTCGTCAGGTATCCATTCCATTATCATTATCCATTCACATGTCATTCAGTACATCCTGTTATCTCAATGTTCAACATTGTAGGTACTCCTGTCTGTCTGGTTGCCTATGTGGTACATTTTTTTTTAATAATCTTCATTATTAGGTGCTCAGTCAGGCTTTGCAAAGCCCAACCACTTCCTTTTTTTTAATATGAGACACTTCAGTCAGTCCCCTTACACTCAGTGTTTCACTGCGTGTGTATTTTTCTTTTTTTTTAACTTCACAAATGTTCTACTGTTGTCCAATCACAGACAAGGAGATGGGCCAGGGGATGACAGGAGTGATTCTGGATAGAGGGAGAAAGCCATCGTTGGCTGCAGGGAAAACAGAAAATCAGCCTCAAATATGGCTAATGTCCTTTCCTGTTTGTAATTGTGCAAGAATAAATGCCTCTGTCTTGGATCCAAGGGAGAAACAGTCTTTTGTAAGATACATCATTTTCCAACTCTCAAGACACTCTGTTGTTTCAAGAAAGAGCACATTTGCCTGAATACAGAGCTGAATGGCAATTCCCACCAGTAACTGCAAAATGCCTGAATTTCTAGTTGAGTACTTGGACTATATATATATTTATTACATTTCACATGTTACTTATGAGAAATGCCATAAGAAATGGGTCACATGATAAACCAACAACACATATTCGTCAGAGAACTCGTTACGTAACCATTCTGCAGACTCGGCAGGTAAATGTTTGTATATCAAAAGTAGATCAATGATTAGTCAACGGCCACAGCAAAGGTTGGCAATATACCACACGAGTAAAAAAGACTTCTGAAGGCAGGACATGATGTAAGTCCTTCCCATCCTCGTTTAAATGTAAAGTGGCTTACAAATGTCTGTCCAATAACGTACCCTGAATTTACTGTAAGTATCTATACAATGGTTTACTAATTTTCTGAAAGTAAACATTTAAAACAATAGTGACTTTATTATTGATTTTTACACTAATATTTTCACAATAAATAAAACAGAAAAAAACTCAAAGTTATTTATTATTTGCTACCATTAATTTTAGTGTGAGCTAGTGATGCCTTTCATAGCCTAAGGGATGCTAAATGTAAGCGTCCCCAACCCAACACAATGTCTCTTAGATGCTCTTCCAGACACATCATCACACTTTGTTCCCTTCACGCTTCCTATATCCCTCCCATTCTCCCTCCATATATCCACTGCAAAGGCATTATAGGTGAATTGTACTCATTGTCCATTCTCCCCCTACTGTACTAATCCTCTGCCCCTCCATTTCTCAGTTTCTTTCCCATCAGTCACAGATTGTCTTGTAGCCTCTCCATATAGGTTCTGATTTCAGACTGACCTAGGTCCATATCCTGGCACACCCACTTGATATCATCTTCACTCCCATTCGTCACCAGAACTGATGAGTTGGTGTATGGGCCACCACCTGAATTATCATTGGGCAGAACAGTGGCAAAAGATGTGAATTTGACGCGTTTGCGTTTGGCCGCTGCAACAGCAGCTGCAGCTGTGGCTTGGGGGGAATTATTCAGATGCTCCTTTTGACCTGTAGCATCTTTGCCACCAGTAGTGATTGCTGAAAGGCACTGATGCGATTCTGGAACGGATCTAGGCAAGGTTTGTCCATGGGTGACACCCCGATGTCCACCTCTGCCACCGCTCCCACTTATAGTGCCCATGCCCATTACCAAGGTGTTACCGGCCCCATTCAGTAGATACTTGTTCTCCTCGTAGCCCCCTTCATTGCGGTCAATTATGGTGGTGCACTCATCCGGCACGCCACCCTGGCATTGGTCAGAGTGGTCTGCTAAAAGGTCAGCCTCAGTGCCAAGCCACACCCAGTCGTGGGCATGGTTCATGTTGCCTCCTGCCTCTAGAACTGGGACTTGCTTGTGACGGTATCTGCAGAGGAAAATTCATAATGAATCATCAATGGAGGTAAAAATTTAAAAAGATGCAGTTTCATGACTATAATCTATAGGCATTATCAGACAATATAAGGAATGACTGCAAAAATTAATACTCAGTTAAAAGTTGAGGATTTTACCCCATCAAAATATCACTAAAAAGTTCAAGAAAATTTGAAGGAGAATTAAGTCCAATTTTAGGTTTTCATGGTACTAGCAAAACAATAAGTGATGCATCACGGGTCTGTTATCCATCTGTCCATCCATCCATTTTCTCAAACTGCTTAACCAGTTTGGGGATGCTGGGAACTATCAACTTACATTTAGTCAGAGTCATTTGTGATTTGTCTCTTAAAATCCACACAAAATAGCAGCACACAAAGGATATGAGAACATAAAACATGTTTAATACAAAAACATTTATCTGAGAGGTATGCTGGATTTTTGTGCCAACCACTGCTGCTTTCCACTGATCATTTAATAAGCCACAGAGCAATTAATGTTCTCTACCATTTTGAAACAAAAAGGAGAGGACAGAATCAGAAAAGAACAGATAACTGATTACTGCATTTGTCGTGAAAATATTGATCAACTGATTTTAGAGGCTAAAGCGGGAGGAAGGATGACTGGAAGGATGCAGTCTCATCACAGGTAAAATAAGCTCATTGAACATTCCTGCTATTGTAAGGGTAAGTCATTATTTATTTATTCTTTTTTTATAATTGTTTAGGCTCAGTGATATGTGTTTCTAATAAACTAGCCTGTTGATATGAATATTTCACTCCCGACTGGAGCAGTAGTTACCTCTCTAAAAAGTAAAGAATGAGTGTATCAATGGGATCTTGAAAAATCAGACAACAATCTCTACACTTGAAATTGTTTTATTTTCAATTGACTTCTCTCAAAAGGTTTCTCTCACAAAATAATGTGGTTGAGCAAAGCTGTTTATGCCTTTCATTAAATATTGTTTGCAATGAATAAGCTTTCTTACAGGTTTTAACTTAAAGGCTATGTACAAGACATTGATCTGGCTTAAATTTTAATCCTCCAATAGACAATGGTCACCTAATATGGGCATATTAGGCCCATACAGATTACCTGTCAAAACCAGCTTTTTGGTTCATAGATCCTTTCAGTTTCACATTATATTTCACCCATATATTAACTAACCATAATGGACCTGCCTGTATTTAATGTGCATCATGTTTTGTTGCTGAGTAACATGTTTAGGTTTTCAGGGTTTTTTTTTTTTGTTTTTTTTACCTGAAAGCAAAGCTGACACAGTTGATGAGGAAAACCAGTATTGCCAGGCAGAATACTCCCAGAAGGGCATACATCCCAATCTCCAGGTCTGACAGGCCTCTAGTGGGCTGGGTTAGCTCACTGTTTCCAGTCCCCGGTACCTCCACTGGTGCTGGGTAGCTACTGTAGTCGCCTGGTTGGCTGGGGCCACTGCCCCGACTACTGCTGCTGCCGCCACCAGCACCTTTGCCACCAGAAGCACGGTGGGTTACTGTACTCTTGGTTGTTGAGCTAACCTGAAAATGGAAATGAAAACACAGATATAGTAAATGGTTAAATTATGTGGATTTTGTATATTCATTTGGATTCACGTGAATACGGCATTATTACACAAGACTGACTCCCTCTCCCCATTCTCCTGCTGGCCTGCTCGCACACTGCGCAGCGACTTATTGTCCTCTCTGCGTCACAGTTATGTTATTTACTATATTTAACACAGCAATTTTCACAGAGGCAGGAAACATCGGGAGCTCTGTGCTAGGCATGGATAATGATCAGACTATATGTGTGACATACTGGGATGCCCTGGATGGAGAATGTGTACTTAACAACCACTCACAGTGATTACACTACTTAAACAAACTAAACTTTGATGATTAAATGTGTTTATCCAATGTGAGTAAACTCTAAAACTACAGTTTAAGGAAAATACTCTTAAAAATATCCTTTCCTCACTGTTTTATTTTTTTTTTTCCATACCTTCCTCATGGCTCCTTCCTCTCGGTCCACTGCTGCACTGTTGGATTTCCACTCTCCTCCATCTTTTGTCCGTTGTTCACTGGTGCTGTTATCCAACCCTCCACCATCCTCTTGCCCCCCTCTTCCCATCACTCCTCTTTCGTCATTTTTTGCTCCAAACTTAACTATAACATTTCCAACTCCAGATGCCAGCACACTCTTCCTTTTTGACTTCTGGCAAGTTTCAGAGATGACCATCTCTACTCGAAACAATGCCCCCTGCCCATCACCTTCTGCTACTACAATGGGCCAGTGCTGTTCCTAAATGACAAAGAGAATGTGGAAGTTAATACCTTACAGTTTAAAACGCGTTTAGGCAGCTTTTGTTATGACTTTGCAAACTATAAAGAAACCTTAACTGAACTGAATTGAATTGAATTTGGGCTTTCTGCTCTAAAAAGCACGATCTACAAATGTATAAAACTGTCACTTCTTTACACTGCTGAAAATATAAAGGAAGCCAGTACCTGATTGGTAACAGAAATGACATTTTCATCAAGTGAGACAGCTGAAAGTAGGAAGTCTTTTGAATCATATATATCCAATGGTGTCACCGAACCATCACTGTACTGGATCCATGCACTGATCCCGGCTTCCTGAAAAAGAGAAAAAAAAACCCTGCACAATTACAATTGAAGCTTTTAAATAGTTCATCCATTCATTAAAATGTATTTTAATGACACTGGTTGGACCTCTTGTGACCTTTTACGAAAGAAGATCAAAGAGAATATCTATCACTGATACTTTTTCTTTGCACAAGATAGAAAGAATGTTGTCATCTGATATTTCAAGCAAAGATAACTGACATCAACAAAGAGTCTTTGCTGTTCCCTCTTTCTTCTTTTGTGCCTTGCTTTTTTTTACTTCCTCGCCTGTCTCTGTGATTTCTGATCTGTTTCCTATTATGTTTCCTATGTTTGTCTTTTTTTTTGGTCTTGTTAACGCCCAATCTTGCTTTTGTTCATCACAGTACATTCCTATCATGGGCCATGTCGTACAGTTTTATACTTACTGGACTCTTGTAAGTTTCAAGTTGGCTCCTTGGTAAAGTTCACATTTTATGCACTCAACTTGCCATTCTAAAAGTGTCTGCATTTTAGTTTTCTATTTAACGAAGTGAGTAGTGAAAGAGGTCATCTATGTCCACTGTGATTGACCATCTTTGAACAGAAGTGGTGGCTTACGACACCAACTGTCTGCCACCTACAGTGAAGTTTTGAGATCCCTTCCCAAGTGCCTCACCCCCACTCACATCTTGCATCAGGTGATCACAATAGGTCACATGATAGGGTGAGGAAGGTCTCACAATGGTTTCACCCAAAACCTCTGCTGATAATGACCCACGCCTTTTTTCACACCAAGCGATGAGGGACATGATCAATAGTGGGTCAGTGACCCTCTTAAGGGACAACTCCCACTAGGGACTGTCCACCATTTGGTTTTAGAACTGAAGAAGCTTCTTGGATTAGAGGTGGAATATCTTCAGGAAACTTAAAGAAGTCCAAGCTCCTTAGACTACTATGACGTGTATGATTTAGAACCTACACAGATATGCTTTCTAGTTCACTTTAACATCATTGAAATTGTTAAATGCTATTGTATAAGCTTGGGAACTACTTGATGGAACACGTCTCTTCGACTCTGAGTATTTTCTAAAAGGTGAGTGACTGTGGGCCAATCCCAAAGTCCACATTCACAGGCTCAAAAGACTGTGGCATGCTCCTGCTAAATC